TGGTTCAGGTCTTGTGGCTCTTACCCACATCAGAGCCTTTAACCTTTATTTCTTGCACCCAGTTCAGCTCTATACCACAAGATCACTGCATGTGTTTTTTTGTCTTTTGTCTCAGAATTTTACTGGCTCTGTGTCTTTGTTTCCTTAAACCCATTCTGCATTAGGTGTAAATTTTTGCTTTGAGAATTCTGTTTTAAGCCTTTACCCTCTGCTGCTTTAATCAACAGAAGCAGAACGTGGTTCTGGGACTGAAGTTCTCTGTATTTCACCACGGGTTTTAGCTCCACATCTTCACTGGGAGCAATGCCAAGCCTGAACATCCAGGAAGAACTTGCAAGAGAGGGAGCTGAGCAGTCTGCAGCAATATCAAGCAGGCAGCAAGACCCAGCAGAGCAATAAACAGATTAAAAGAAAGAATCTTGCATGACTGAGCCCTTGTACTGAGCACTCAGTGTGGGATGCTGTGATCTAATAGTGTCTAGACAGCAATATCTTACATGACTTTCTTGCCTCTCCAACATGAATACAGCCAGAAATTTCTCAAAAGAAAATACATGAAGAGAATTTCAGGTTTCAGGTTTCCAGCCTTGCTAGTGAAAGAATTCCAGGTGACTTTTGCACAGAACCCCCACTATATTTTTACAATTTATCTGTGTGCACGGATCCCCTTTTTGCTTGTTCCAGGGCTAAAGTCTCAGAAACAAAACCTTTGTAAGAGATTGTGCAAGGTTGTGCATTTGTAATATGGTGCATTTATGTGTCAGTGAATGATGTTTTAATGTACAATCAATGAGAGCGTTCTTGCTCACCATTATTTAGCATAATTAAACAAAGATGCTGAGTGATTATGAAGTATGTGTAATGCACAGAAATATATTTTAAAAAACAAATATGTTTGGAATAACATGTCTTTTTGTTCTGAGCAGTCAAATGAAGACTTGTCTAATACAGCTCAGCTTCATGGTTTTGGTATAACAAACTCTTGAACTGCAAGAATCAAAGTTTGGGGTAATTGAGATAAGCAGATGTCTCCTGTTAAGATGTCCAGGGAGTCGTGTTCGCTAGGAATATTTTTCTTCAGTTTCACAACAGAAATAAAGATGCTGTGAAGCTTCTGGATTTTTAAAGCAGAGGTGGTACAGCCTTCAAAGTTTCTTTTTGTGAACCTAGGAAAGCAACACTGCATCAGTTTGTCTGTGTCTTTAACTCCCTGATTTTGCCAGGCACATTTTCTGCTCTTGGCTCTCTGGGATCCCATCCCAGCTTGTTCAGAGTTTAGACTGTGATCAAATAGGAGCAGTGTGACACAACAAAAAGTTTTCTTGTATTTTAGAATACATGTGTCTTTTCTTGCTGCAAACAAGGAAGCTGACAGATGACAAATTCTGGATGGCATTTGAACTAAACTTCCAGTAGACTGGCAGTGTCTTTATGTTTATTTTTGGTGGAATGACCTTTCCATGTGTAAAGGCTCTAGATGCTTTCTGATTAAGTTATACTTCCACATGAGAAACTTTCAGCTCAGAGGAATTAGGTGAAATTTTAAGAAAGAGGGTGTTCCCCTGATACATAAAGCTGTAATGAAATTTGCTTTTTCTTGGTGTTATTTTTTTTTTGGTTGTTTTCAGTTATTACAACCGAATTTTTGGAAGAGTTGATGGGCTTGATGAACTATGAAAAAAAGAGAAATTACTCTTCTGATTTTGACCTACAGGTAAGATTTCTTCCTCTTAGTAAAAGGTAACTGATATCAAAATAAAAGAGTAATTTTTTGCAGGAAACTGATCCTTATTCAAGTTTTCTCATTTTTAGAAATTTTAGTTATTTGACAATGCCTTTTCTGCTTACTTATGAATTATTTTTAGTTAGTTTACTTTGCTCAGTCCCATTCTGACCTAGGTCTAGTTTCCTATCTGTTTTCTGTGAGGGAAGAGCTTTGGCTGTGTCTGTATTGCAAAATTTAAATAGCTCAGACTATTAGCCCTGTCTCCTTGTAGATGTCAACCTCCCAGCTAAGTCAGGTAAAACCAAAGACTTTCCATTTAGATAAAGCATTAGGTTTTGGGGGGGGAGAATAAATACATAAAATAAAAAAAAGAAATCAAGGTCAGGAGTGAAAGCATGTTTTCAGGACATGGTTTAAGTTCAGGCTCCTTTCCTGTTATATTCCATAATTCTGTGCTACTTCCCAGTTAGCTCACAGGAATCTGACCAGTCTGACCAAGGGCTGGGTAGCAGTTGTGAGGAGATCTCCAAATTTCGCCCCAGGTACTTCTGTTACACATCTGAAATTGTCCATATTTGAAGAGTTATTTTAAGTCTCACCATACCTCCTGTTCTTCAGAAGGATAATTTGATCTGTAGAGAAAGAAAAAAAAATCAAAGTAATTAGATTTAAAAAAGACTGGATAGCAAGACTAACTCTCTTGCTAGTGAAGAAAAGATGATGAAGAGCAAGAAAATGTATTTAAATGTAGTTTCCTTCTGCCTGCTTCCCTGAGGGCTCTGACCTCACTGCCCCACATCCTGCAGTGCCTCTGCTGGGTGAGAACAGCTTCTCAAAGATGCTCCCCCAAATTCCTCTCCTCCTGCTCCATCCCCTCCTCCTCCCTTCTGGGGAAGCAGCAGTGCCAGAGCAGCACTGGTTTCTGCCTCCCAGGGCATCCCTATTCCTAATTCCAAGTTGTGCTACCTCCCAGGAGGACCTACAGTACCCTGAGGTCAAGATTGAGAACTCAAACCTTTCCTGTGTCTTGATTTTCTTCATAAATCTGTAAAATGTGGGTTCTGTAGGGGGAAAAAAAAAAAATCAGAAGTGCTTTGATTTTAGAGCTGAGGTGAAGACCAGTCAACAAACCATCTCTGCAAGATTTCACTGCCACAGCAGAGCTGCCAGACTTGGAATTGAGAATAAGGTATGCAGGCTAACAATTCCCAGTAGATTGGGTGCTCTGACAGAGATAAATCAAGAGGCAAGTGCAAAACAATTCCTTTGCTGGAATTAATACTCAGTGAAAACTGTGATGTTGTTGTAGAAAGTGGGCAACTCTCTGGGCTCAGCCATACAGCCAGATTTTTATCACCAAACAGAGCCCCTGCCCAAGCCATGGACAGCCAGTTTCTCCAGGAGGATGCAGTGGAAAATGGTGTTAAACTCTTTTCTAAAGTCCAGACAGACACATCCACAGCCTTTCCTCGTCTACCACGTGGGTCTCCCTCTCACAGAAGGAGAAGCAGGTTTTGCCTTTTCCTAATCTCATCTTGGCTGGCTCTGATCCCCCCATTAACAAATCTCAAAAGAGGTACTTGTTAATGGGAAAACACAGCTGCACAGTGGAGGTTTTATTTTTTTCCAGAGAATTTTTCCTGAGATCAGTGCTACCCAACACTCTGAATGCTGCAAATCCCAAACCCAGTAGAAAAACTTCACCCTCAGTGAAGTTTTATACTTCACCCTCAGTACATGCTTGAAGACTCAGTCAGTGTATAATTGCTTTATCTTTATAAAGCAATTTATATATTTATACCCATTTTTTTGCAGGGATCTTGAATATCTCTGAAACTGAAAAAAAAAATTTAGTTTATTTATTTTTTTTATTGCTGCATTAGACAGAAACATATTGCCAGGGACCTGGCAGTCAGGCAGTGCTGCACACCCTGATGATGGTCAGAGCTGGGTGCCACGGCTCCATTCTGTCCACACCACTCCTGCTGCATCATCTCCGGGAGCTGCAGGCACTGGAAAATGTCAGCAAGGACTCCAAGAATTCCTGGCATTTACTGCCTGTAGACCAACAAAAAAAAAGTCTTTGATGCCTGCTGGACACTGGACACAGAGATTCCTTACCTGCAGATCTCTGGCTATTCAAAAATCCATGCTTAGAGTACTCCACTAATTCCTTACATATTCAAACTGCTTTGGTTTTAATACATTTTCAAGAGTTATTGAAGCCACCTCTCTGTGCACCCATGTGCTACAAAAACTTCTACCAGAAATATGTGCCTGGCAACAGTCTTGCATGTTTAAATTAAAGAGGAAAACACTACTGTGACAGCGGCAGGCACGAAAATATTGAGTTTGATAACTATACAAGCAGTTTTCTCTGTGATATTACTATTTAGGAAGAGGATGTTTAAGAGTACTTGAATATTCAATACGTGTAACAAAGGGATTTTTTTGCAGAGTGAGAGAGCTGTGATTATTCTGCAGGAGCTGCATGTGAGGATGCTCATCCTCTGCCTGTGCAGAGCCATCCTGACCCATTTCCCACTGGCAATTCCCAACTTGCCTCTCTCGGTGGGCCCCCTAAACACCGCACACCCCTTAATCTTCCCAGTGAACTGCTCGGTGCTTGTGTACACACACAGGCATGTGGCACATGAAATGGGAATTACTGGGAATCACGGGATCACAGCGCTTTGGGCTGGAAGGGACCTTACAAAACCACCTGGCCCCTGCCATGCCACACGCAGGGCAGCCTGCTCCGAGCCCCCGGCAGCCGGGCCATCCTTTTCCAGCGGCTGCCGCTTCCCGCTGAGGGCCAGCCGCGCCCGCCCGGCGCAGCCACGCGGGATGGCCGGGATGAGCCTCGGGGCACAGCGGGGCGCGGCGCTTGTCCTCCGCACAGGGTGACACCGCGCTCCAGCGCAGCCTTGGCACCCCAGTCCCGCTCGGTGGGCCCGAGGCTGGAGCTGGGATTAGGGCCGGGAGCGGGACCGGGACGGGGACCGGGATCGGGGCGAAGCGAATCTTCCCGGGCTGCCGGCGGCCAATCGCGGCGTCCCCGGAGCGCCCCCGCGGCGCCGCTGGCGCCAGACATGCCGGGAGTTGTAGTTCTCTCCCGGTGTCCCGCTGTTCTATGCGCGGCCAGATAAACTACAACTCCCAGTAGCCTGCGGGGCCCCGCCGCGCGTCTCCCGCCCGTGCCTACGATCCCCATCGCGCCCCGCGGGGCCTGGAAGGAGAAGCGGGTCCGGGAGCGCGCGGGGCGGCGCCTGCGCAGAGCGCGGCTTCCTGAGCGTCTGGTGGCGGTCGCCATTTTGTGGTGCCGCTTCCCTCTCCCGCTCGGGATCTGCGGCCGCGGGACCTGGCGCGGGGGCGACGCGGAGCGGGGGGAGCCGGGGCCGCCCGCACCCTCCTCACCTTCCCTTCGCCTCCGTGCGCCGCCGAGCCCCTCCGGCGCTGCCCCCGGGCGCGGCTGCGGAGAGCGGCGCTCGCCCACCATCATGGAAGACGACGGGCAGCCCAGGACCCTGTGAGTGGGGAGGGGGCGGCGGGGTGGGCAGCGGGCCCGGGGCGGAGCGGGGCGGGGGCAGGGATGCGCTCCCGGGGAGCGGGGCCGGGGCCTCCAGGGGTGCCGGGGGAGCGGAGGGGGCCGAGCGGGACAGAGCGTGTGCGGCAGGGCCGGGAGCGGGGTCCGGGCAGGGGGAGCGCGGCCCGCACGGAGACGGCGCCGCACCGATGCGAGAAAAACACGGGCGAGCCCAGCTGGACCCGGCGCGTAACGGGGTCCGTCCCCGGAGCCTCCGGGGCCCGTCCCCGGAGGTTTGGAGGTGCAGGCGGGGGTCCCAAGCCTTCCCCGGGGGGCACAGGCCGCCCCCGGGCCCCCCCTGCACGGCGGTCCCGGCGCTGGGAAAGTTCTTTGTGCTCTGCCGGCGGTGGGAGGGATGGGGAGCGCCGGGAAAGCGGGAGGGATCGCTTTTCCCTCCAGCGTGTCACGCTGTGGCTCAATAACAGGGTATCGGGCCCAGCAGAAAGAAATAACTGTGTGCTGGCCGTGCCTCTCCGCGCTGTTCAGTCACTTGGTGGCTGTCATGCGTTTTCTGCTTGAAAATTCAAATTTGAGCGTTTTGGGGTTGCTGTTGAGTACTTCTCAGCTTTGCAGATGTGGTTTTGATGAATTTTCTTTGTCTTGTTGGCTTAAAGGGAGGGAGGCTCGCACTTGTGGTTGGCCGCTTGAGAGCAGGGGTTTTGTGCTGCTGCTGATTTTCAGCAGTTCCCAGATTTGCAGAGCAGCTGCCAGAGGCTGTTTCGGGCTCTGGGAGCGGTGCAGCGTTCGGGCTGTCCCTGGAAGAAAGGCAGGCTCATGCTCGGGCTGCCCAGATGACAAACACAGCTCAGGACACGGCAAAAGAAATCTTTGTCTATTTAGCTTTCAGGACAGTAGCCTTCAGAAAAACTCTCCGAGATAGTCTGGACTGAAAGGCACTCTAAAGAAACTACTGAAACAGAGTAAAATGTCTCACAACACTGTTCTCACTACCAAAATGATGACTTGGCATTTAAGGCTTCGCAAGGCAATTTGTTTTTTTCTCCTTTCTAGGTCTGCAAAAGTTCTTTAAACTCGTTTATAGTGCGGTATAAGTACTTAGTCCCTGCTCCCCGAGGTGCACAGTTTAAGTAAGCAGATCTGAAATGCTTTTTGTGTTGATTACCCAAATGATCAGAGTTTGCCTGGCCCTCAGAGCGGACCTAGGTTGGAGTGTTGTTTTAGAGTAGGAGGAGGGAAAAGAGCAGAGCCACACAGTGTTTTATTTAGTTTTATTTTCAAGGCTCCTTACTTCATTATTGGCTCACTTTCTTTCTTTTCAAGAATTGCTATATTCCCACTAAGTTTTAAGATGTTCTTTTAGTGCTAACAAGTTTGGGTACCACATTGGCCATGGGTACACATCCATCAAGGACCTGACTTAACCCACTTAGTTACTAACAAGAAGAAAATAAATTTGTGCTAAGATGTCTGAACTAGCATCTCTGCAGCTGCCCCAAATGGTTTATTGCACACGTGTGACTGTTTCATTTGTTAAACTAATAAACAGCATGCACATGAATTTCTTAGTAGTTCTGTAGTAACCACAATCACAAAGGGTTACTTTGCTGTAATTATCTGGAGGCTTTTTGCTTGGAAGACAAAAATTTTGCTGTAGCATTTTTTACATTTTACCTTCTTGTCCCTACTTTTTAATCTGAAATATCTTTAAATTTAGAATAGCAAGGCATGTTTTAAGGATTATTATTCTGAGCACTGGTTTTCATATGGAAAAGTTGTGATCTCATAAATAAAACTCACTGTCCCCCAAGAAAAACAAATAAAAATATTGTTAGTTGAACTTCTAAGTTTTCATTGTTTGGTTTATTTGGGGAGGGGGAGGGGGGAGAAAATGAAGAACAAATTGTTTCAGTAGCTATTTCACCATGTGCAAAAGCACGTGATTGGTAGTGTAAGCAGAACTTTATGAATGTCTTAGTTTTTCACTCCTGAAGGCATAAATGAAATCCAAAATCTGTAAATTAGGAAGGAATTTTCTTTTTTAACAGTTGCAAGCCATTTTTTTACTCCTAAAAAGCAACACCTACCTTACCTTTGTTCACTCAACATTTCTGCCCATGTTAACCAGCTCAGGAATGAGGATTGTTTCAATTCACAGCACTTACAAGGCTGTTGTGTTGTTTCCCATCATGATAGGTCAGTCATAAACCTCTAAGAATTCAGAATATTTTCTGAGGCTTAATATAGAATGCTGACACTGTTTGCATTTTTATTTCTTAGCTTTATAGAAACATGAAGAATAACCTTAGATACTTTCTGCCAAAAAACTTTCCAGGCGTGGGGGCCTTTCTGCATGATTTGCCACATGTAATTTTTTAGCTGGTCCTAAAATGATCTGTGAGCTTCTGATTTTTTGGGGTTGTTTTTTGTTTCAGTAGAACACTTGAAAGCTCTGTTCTGTGTGAGTAGTTAGATTTCACAGGCTGTATCAAAGTCCTGCTTCTACTTTAAAGTGAAAACAACTATCAGAAACCTGATGGGTTGCTAATGTTAGCAGTTCTTATTTTTTGGGGTTGTTTTTTGTTTCAGTAGAACACTTGAAAGCTCTGTTCTGTGTGAGTAGTTAGATTTCACAGGCTGTATCAAAGTCCTGCTTCTACTTTAAAGTGAAAACTGAACTATCAGAAACCTGATGTGTTGCTAATGTTAGCAGTTCTCGCAGGCAACCAGTAAAGTTGCAAAGTTGTATATTCTTGTTAAAGTTTTTAGAAATGTTTTTTGTGGTTTGTTCAGGGACTGCTCTGAAGTCACTGCATGCCCACAGCTGCTATCTCATCAGCCTTGCCGTGCTGTATTCCAAGTCTGGAATGTGGATAAGGTGCAGGAGTAAAGCTTCACCCGGATTCGTTTCTCTTGAACTTGCTCTCAGTTCAGCTCTCTACAGGAATGCTGTCTCTTGGAGGAGGCTGCATAGTGGATTATTCTTGGTATCATTTTATTTCCAGTAGCTCACAAGCACTAGGCAGAGGTTTCTAGAGTTTCTGTGTGATCTTGAGCACATCAGTTACCTTATTGCTTATCATTATTTCCTCTTTTAAATATGGAAAGTGCCATTTCTTGCGTGTTGCCTGTGTGAGAGAGAAATCAAACTTACTATCTTTCCTCAAAAAAAGAGTGTAAAGGAGTTTTGTGTACCTAAAAGTAGTGGTTGTAAATGTCCCTTTCTTACCTCCCTGTTTAGGATGCAATACAAACCTATTTACCTTCCAAAAGAGAGTTTTGCTGCTCAAGCCAAAGAGTTGAGTTCCAAAACTCATTATGGACTGATACATGTCCCTTGTGTTCCTTAGATAGTTCTACAACATCTCTGAATTTCCAGTAGTTTGTTATTCTTTGTGTTGTCAGCAGCACTCAGAAGTGTAATAGGTAAATAGATGTGTCAGGACATCTGTCTGTCTAGAGGTTGTTGGGGTTTTTTGGTGGCTGCTTATTAATTGGTGTTTGAGTGCTTCAGGCTTGCAGAAGGGAGCAAACACTGTTGCCTGTGTGGAAAAAGCCACAACTTTTGCTGCCCTGTCACATCATCCAAGACACCTGTAAGAGTTTAGTAAGTGCTTCTGCCTTGCTGGTTTCATAATTTTAAAAAAGTTTGCACAATACATCCTCTAGAATATATCAGTCCAAAAAGGTTGAAACACAGTACAATAGCATGTTAGGAATCTTCTGGTTTCTTGAGGTGTGGTGGATAATTTTGTGGATAATTTTGATTTAGTGAAGTAGAAGTGCTGTTGTGTTACATCGCCTGCCAATGGAGCTGGAAAGGGGAAAGCTGACCACAGGCTGGCCATGTGTAGTGGGTGATTAGCATCAGCTGAGCCAAGTTTTGTGTTTCCAGAAAGGTGAGGTGTCTGCTCCTAATGTGGTGAATGTATTGATTTCTTTAGTTCTGTAGCATTCAGACATTCACACTGAAGGTGTTTGCTTGTGTGTTTTTATTAAGTCGTCTCTAGCTGTACTGAAGGAGGTGATGTTACTCCAGTCTGCTTAAAGACATGAAAGTAACCATCAAGTCTTATTTTTGGCATATTGTTTCACATTTGTAGAGATTTGTATTTCTAGATTTACATTTAATAAGAGAGATTTGGGTCTCTCTGAGTGTTGTCCTTGCTGCATGAACCTTTACTGTGCAGTATTCTCAGTGGGTGTGTTACTGAAGTTTGAGTTTTAGCAACTTGGGAAGGGTGGGAATGCCTCTGACTAATGGTAATATTGTGCACCAAGGCAGGATTTATCAGATACATCCAGGGAATTAAATGACCATTAGGATTTCACATCCCATCTGAATCCAGCAGTCAAGGTGGTCCTGATTTTTATGAAAAGGCAGCTTGTTTCACAGCTGAGGTTTATGATGCAACATTGTTACAACTATCTCGCCGAAAACATGGTGGTATCAAAAACCACTTACTATTAAATCTTAAATATTCTAGCAGTTAGTGTAACTTTTCTTACCTTAGTTGAATAGATTACTGAGGAATGGCTTTCCCTGGCTTTTTGTTTCTTTTTAAAATTTTTGTCCGACCGAGAGGAATTCTCCAGCTTGATTTTCAGACTTGTTGTGTTTTCCAAATACATGTTAATATTATGCAGAAGAGGATGATACTTTTTTGTTGTTGTTGTTGTCAGTGTTAATTGTATTCCTTACTGTATCTGATTTGCAGTAGAAATAAGGTGTTAATTTCGTATCAGTGTTACTGTATCAGTGTGCCGTGAAGGCTCAGTGTTAATGAATGCTGTTTCCAGCATACAGAGGAAGCCAGTACTAGCAATAAACTGACCCTTTATGCAGGAATTCCTCCTGGTATATACACTTGCCATCTGATTTTAGTAGTATCTTCAAAGGTTAATATTTCCACTAAAAGCTATTAGTGATTTACAATTTATTCTTGGTGAATGATTAACAAAAATTTAGTTAATATTTCAGAAAGAAGGTAAGCATAAATGTTTAACTACTGAGTTTTCAGGATAGAACTGAAAAGTCAGTGAGATGGACAGTTTGTCCTGTAAGGGGTCTTAGAGTTGTGCAGCTTTTAACTTGTCTACTGAAAAGCTTCATAACAATCCAGGCTTCTGTCAGTGACTTGTGTTAATTCACACGTATTTAATAAGAAAATAATGAGTACCTGAAGGATTTTAGTGGATGTTCTGTATTCAGGTGGTACTTCAGAAAGTCACTCTGGATCTTGTAGCATTGAAGTCCTGCTGAGAAGGTGCAGAATTGCCCCACAGTTGCTGAAAGAAGAACATAAACAAACATCTGTGATAAGGTTGTATGGTGTTCTGATGAAAACAAACAGTGTCCGGTTGAATTTTGCTGATCCGGATGAAAGTCCAGCTGTCAAACACAATTGGCTTTTGAAAAATTGTCAAGGGTTGCCTCTCAGAGCAATTTCAGAGCACACCTTTAGTTAACTCAAAATTAATTTGTCTGTGAGCAATAAGAAAGGCTTGTTCATGTTTATGTTCACTGTATTAACGGGTCAGGCTGACTTTAGTTTGCAGTTTTATGATGTTCTGTAACTGAGCAGAGTAAAACGAGTAAAATGTATATTCTTTCAACTTCTAAATCACAGAAGGTTCTGCTCATCTTATTGGTTGCACTTGAATTCTTTATGCCTTGCTAGGCTTGTTTGTAAAGGTGATGAATGTCCCTCTGCTGATGGCTTGTGGCATCTGTTACTGTGACAAGCCTTTCTCTTAACTGATCACTTTGTTTACAATTTGATTACAAATTAGTCACATTGTTAAAAAGAATTTAGTTTTGCATTCATGACTTTCTCAGCCATTATTGTGACTTGCTAAATCTAGGACTCTTATCTAAACTTGATAAGTATTTCAAAACTTGAAATCATTTCTCAAGATTTACTAACTAACAACAATCAAGAAGTCTGGTTGATATTAAAATAACAGTGCCAGAATTTTGGGGGGTATTACAAAGGTGGGAGCTGTTGAGATAGATGCTGTACAGTGCATTCCTATGGCAGAATGCTGCATAAATTGCCTTGTTGGTGAGCGGGCTGCCTTTCCAAATGCTCAGGAAAGCAGCAAAGTTGAGTTGGTTGTTTGCAAGGCAGCACAATTTGTCCAAGAGCTGCTCCTGAGCTCATGGGAGTTAGATGTGTGTTTGTACCCAAATTCAGAAGTATTCTTGATGAGATACTCAGTGGGAAGTGAAACTTAAAATATCATTGCCCAGTTGGTTGCTTGTTGTGCACAACATCCTTGAGCAATGTTCCTCATGCTTTTGGCACCTCTGTGCCAAGGGAATGATTGGCACTAGGTCTTGGTGTCCAGCGTTGTCTGCATCGAGCTTCACTGCTCGGCTGTGTGGCCAACATTGTAATTTAGAAACCACATCAATACTGCATTAAAACTCTGAAATAATTAGTAAATATTGTCTTTAAGATACCTGAGATGTTTTAAAGGGAGTTTCTTTATAGTTGCTTAAGTTTTTAAAACCATAATTGCATTTTAAAATATGACAATTTCTGGTTTAAAATCTTGGTTTTTTGTTTCCTTGTGTAGCTATGTAGGAAACCTCTCCAGAGATGTGACTGAGGTTCTCATACTTCAGTTATTCAGCCAGATTGGACCATGCAAAAGCTGTAAAATGATAACAGAGGTAAGGCCTTCCACATCTGGGGGGTAGCAAATGTAATGTAACTTTATCCTAAGTTGTCCAAAACAAATGAAGTTGAGGGCTTCTTTTGACATTCCTGGCAGTGGGTTTCTTTGGGTTGATTGTGTTTGGCTCTGGGATAACTCTTTGCAGGAGAGACCTGGTGTGTGCAATCCTGTGCTTTTGCCTGTAGCCCTGACATACCTTTTGTCAGCTGGTGGTGAGATTCCACTTTATTTAAAAGATTGTTACCCCCTCTTTGCAGAATCACTTTGTTCTGATGATCAGAAACCTTATTATTTCAAGTGTTATTCATGACTATTTTGTACATTTTTCACTTTATTTGAACATGAGCCTCAGTAATTCTTGTCCCTCTTGAATAAATGGTTCTTTGCTATTGGTGAAAAGTAAGAAATCCTTCAAAATAAGTTTGACTCTTCCTCAGCTTTTTCTTCACTAGTTCAAATACCTCTTGTCTGCACCAGTACAAATAATTCTTGTCTGCCCCTCTCTGTTCTTAAATTAATTTTTCCTTGAAACAAAGTGACAAAATTTCCATAGTATTGCAGATAAAGTCTTTTGCACAGAGTGCTGGTAAGTATTAATGTTTTCTTATCTCCATTGTAAATACTCTGGTACCTTTATGGTTGGCAGCTATTTCTTTGAGCTTTTTGACACATCCTACAAAATTTCTCTCTCCCTGGTATTTTTTCTTCCTTTTACATTTGTAACTGGTAAACTTTGAGCAGGCAGGAACTAATCTGAGCTTCAGCCAGGTTTAAGCTTTGCTCCTTCATCTCTGCTTTCTGTATACTCTTCATACTTTTTACTACATCTTATGCTTTTTACTAACTTGTAATTACAGATTTCTTGAGGACAGTTAAATTAGTTTTCTGTCAAGATTGTTAATGAAAGTATTAAAAGACAAGTCTTGTGATCAGGCTTCTTTAGGAATACTACCAGAAACTCCCCTGTGGGCTTCTTCTCCATTCAATATGTCACACAGCTTGTTTGTTTCTTTGTTTTTAGCTAATCATCAACTTGCTGCTTGTTTAATCACTCTCATCTTTGTCTAGACTAATAGTTTCCCATGTGACACTTTCCTCTGCTGGATTTGCTTTAAGTTTATTGGAGAAAAATAACAGAAGGCTGACAGATCACAGTTGTTAGTTCTTCTCTGAAGAAACAGTTTTGATTGTCATGTGCTCTACAGACATAAGGTGCTGCTGCTCCCACCTTTGGCTGGGTGAGAGCTGTTAGCAGCAGTTTGGTTTCTTGAGGATCAGATGAGAAATTCCAACATTTTTATCTTGGTTGAGGCTTTGTGGTTTTAAGGTCTTTCCATAAGTGAGACATCTTCATGAAACAAGTAGATGAACAAAAAGTGCTGGCAGCTGTATTCAGTCACACAGGGGTGACTGCCCTGGGCTGATCTCAGCAGCTGCCAATAAGCAGTCACAGAAGTGCAGGTTGGATTCTGCACTGGCACCTGCAACTGTCACAGGACCTGTCCATGGTGTCCATCCTTCTACAGTGTGTGGTAAACCTGTCCTAGGGACTGTGTCATGGTTAGGTGGTTCTTACCATTGTTAGTACCACCCTCACCTTTTAAAATCCTGTGATTTTTCCATTTTAGCCAGGTGTATCAAGTCATCCTTTTTCTTTTGTAGAGTATATGACATGAACACATCAAGTGTTGAAAAATTTGAGGTGTTTCTTTTGGGGGTATATAATACTCAGGCTGTTGGCACAGTATTTGTAGATGGTTTGAACCCCTAAAGATCTGAGTGCCTGCACAAGAGATTCTTCTCATGTTCAGACAAGTTCTCAGTGCTAAAGAAGACCTCCCTGCAATCTAAAAGTAAGACTGTACTTCAGCTGAAGCACAAACTACACCAAATTTCCTAAAGAAGCCTTAAATGGGTTTCCCAGAGTAGTGTGGGAGGAGGGGTGAATTAAGGCTTTCTTTTTTGGGGCATCTGAGGTGAGTGTGCTTGTACAGGACTTTGTGACTGAAACTTTTTTTATGATCTCAGGTGCATTTTCTCTCATCTGTTCATTGTGCATCAGTTAGAGGCTCCAGGTAGTGACAGTGTTCAGCAGGATGACTTCAGCCTCCAAGACCATTTTAGGTGTATAAAGGCCTTGTGATCCATTCAACTCAAGACCATTTTAGGTGTATAAAGGCCTTTCAACTTTCAATCCATTCAACTGTTGCATCTTCACAGCTTCACGAGTAGACAGAACTGTGTTTAAGCTGTACAATCCATTGTTAGGGGGAAGGATTAGAATTGTTCATCAGTGTGTGTATGGGTTGTGAGAAGTTAAATAGGAGTGCTGGAAAAGGCTTCTCTTATTTTGTGTTACAGCTGTATTCTACCTGCACATGGGGGGAGGTTGATAGTGAGAATACTGATGCCAGAACAGTTCCTCTGCTAGACCCTTCCCTTTCCATGTGAGAAATAACTTGGTTAGGGTAATATTCGTGTTTGTCATCTTTTGGTCCATGCACGTGCTGAATAGTTAATGGAAATGTTTTGGTTAGAGTTTTTGTACTCATCACATCTTGGAGGTAGATCAAATCCAGTGTTCAAGTTGGTTTTCTCGACATCCTTTCCACTTGATCAGCTTTTCAGAAAACTCTTCTGTTCTTTGCACTTTATGCTCTGGTACAATTGTTACTTCAGTGACCTCTGTCAGTGAGTATTTTTAAAGGTGATTTGATAGGCCATCCTACAAAAACAGGTTGTACTCAAGGTTTAACAGAGTTAACAGTCAATTGATTAATATCCTTTTCTCTCAGTCAGACTATTCTGAGTTCTTTTAAAAGGTTATTTTCCAGTCATTTGCTATGGCATTTTTCACTTGAGACTGACACTGTGCAGGTTCCAGGTTGCTGCCTGCTGGTGGTTTTCAGTCAAAAAAAAGGAAAGATTTCTTAAGTAGGGCAAGAGAAAAGTGGTGAAAATGTGTCTGGGGAATAAACCTTTCTAGCTGTGAGTATATGCATGAGGCAGTTTTTTCTTCTCTCCATTCTTCCCCTTTCCCCCCCCTTTCCATCCAGTTTGCAGGTCACTTTTCTGATCAGTTATTTATAGTTCAGTAAACTTCAGTCCTCATTCAAGCAAGCTATCCTCCAGAAACTGCTAGACCTTTAATAAAAAATCCATCTTAAGAATTCTTGCATTTAAGTGTAATGTCAAAGGCTATTTCATAAATCTGATGCAAATCATTCTGAACCTTTCTAGCTGTAAGTAATATATTTTCCTGGATTTTCTTCTCAGCAACCCGATAGCAGAAGGGTCAACTCTTCTGTTGGATTTTCTGTTTTGCAGCATACAAGCAATGACCCTTATTGCTTTGTGGAATTTTATGAACACAGAGATGCAGCTGCTGCATTAGCTGCTATGAATGGGAGAAAAATTTTGGGAAAGGTAAGTTGCTCACATGGTAATCTTAGATTTAAAGAATATAGATTTGTGTGAAAGTATTAATAAAACCATTGAAGATGTTTTACTGAGATTAAATATTGATAGAATAATCTTTTAAAAGTATTGATATAAATAAGTAAGTCTTGTTTAGGAAATGTATTATTTGTGATCTTCTGTTTATGATGGTGTTTTATATTAAATGTTGATTTGTAAATGTTGAGAGTTGTAACCCACCCTTGAATGAACTTATAAAATGTAAGAATTTTTTGAATTTATACTAAATCTTATACTTGTTTTCAGGAGGTCAAAGTAAACTGGGCAACAACACCAAGTAGCCAGAAAAAAGATACATCCAGTAAGTAATGGAATGCCACAGTATCACTTCTGCACAAATACTTCACAAAGTGGTAATAATTTATTGTAAATGCATTTAAACATAACTTCTCTCCTTCCCATCTAGTATTTAATAGAATTTTGCAAACTAATTCTTCTGTTTCTGCTTTACAACTGGGGAAAGCGGAGTGGACAGATTAAATTGCTGCTGCTCTTCACATGGAATCCTGAGCGTTCCTGGTTCCCAGAGCTGTGTGCAGAGCATCACTTTCTCAGGAGCTGAAACTTTAGATAGCAGTTAAATATTTGATTAATAAATTATTTATTTGCAGATCACTTCCATGTGTTCGTTGGGGATTTAAGTCCAGAAATAACAACAGAAGACATCAAGTCAGCATTTGCTCCTTTTGGTAAAATATCGTAAGTATCATTATAAACATTTCCATTATCAGTCAGAAAATGTGATAGTGAAAATGTGTTTCTAAGTTGAAATGTTATTTCTTATCTATTGAGATAATTTTTCTGCTGTTCATTTCCTTGTGGGTGGGTGGGTGGGTAGAAAAGAGGGGTTGTATCTCAGTGTGTTTCACAATGTAAATACAGTAATGTAATTGTGCTCTGGTTTGCTGAAAGCAATGTGCTTTTAACCTAATTTATATGCTAATGTCCTTCAACCTTTTATTAAAATTTAATTACTGCTCTAAGTGTGATTTTTTTGGTGTTGAGAATGTGTACAGAGTAGTGACTTGACAACTGGTATATATTGTGTCCTGGGTGTGTTTTATGTGCATTTCATAGGCAGTTTGGAAAACTGGGCAATTGAAATATAATTCTATAAAGCAGCTAGTTAATAACTTGGGAATGTTTTGAAAAAGCTAATACTTGTGAGAATGAAATCTGGTTTTTTGGATGATAATGGGATGAATTACAATTATAATATCTTAAATGAAAGAATGGTGGCTTTACAATATGTGCACATTTCTGCCAGTTCAGAGAATGTTTCTTTAAACTTCTCTTGGACCATTCAGGTGATACTGCATCACCTGATGTTCTAATTGAGCATATTTAACATTACAAAATCTTTGAGAGTGCTAAAGTATCTATGTCCTAAAGAGTACTGCTACAAAAAAGTCTGTTAATCTTTTATCAGTTTATCTATAAAAATCAAAGTTGCACATGAACGTTTTTATACTACTTTACAGGAATATATTTCTAAGAACAAAATTCTTATTTTTCTCTTGTTCTGTACGCATATTTTTAAATGAATCATAAATCTTATTTCTTACCTCTGCTGTTTTGTTTACTTTGCTTTTTGTCTCTTAATGTGGTAAGTAGTACTGTTTTAAAAATCAATTTAAAAAGAATAATTCAGGTTTCTGTTTCTCAATCTATATTTATACCTGAGACCTGCAGTTTTTCTAAAGTCCAAGTCACAATTAAAAGTAATAGCATTCTGGTTATTTTGCAGAATTGCTCATAAGAATGGACAGGATCTTGAAGGCTAACTGCAAGGAACTGTGCACACTGGAACTCAGTTGTAGATTTTTTCTCATTTCTATTTATTCTTATTATACATTATTTATATATACATATTTTAGTATTTACATTTTAACATTCTATATTCAGTGCAGTTCTATATTTCCAATCATTTTAACTTACTCACTAAAATTTCTGTGTAAATTTGTTGTTTTCGTACTGGTGTGCTTAGCATTGTTGTTAGTTTTATTCTCCTTTCTTAAATTTCTGAAAATGTCAATTTTTCAAAATTTACAGCTACCCAAACTCCAAAATGATGGTAGAGAATTGACCAAGAAAAATAAAGAAATCTGTTAACAGGCCATGTATGCCTTTTAATTCCTATTTTTTCCTCTTTTTCGATTTTTTTAATATTTCATATATTTTGTATCACTAGGCAGAAGACATTTAACTATTTAGAAAATGCATGGTAAATTAGATAGAATTGTTACAGTAATTTATAGAACAGTAAACCTTAGAGGACCCTAGCCGATAGAATATTAGAAAAGGAAACTTTGTTTCTCTTATACTTCAAATTTGAACATTCTAGTTATAGCCAGTATAGGTTATGTGCATAGGTTGCATGTTTATTACATGTTATTTTTTTTGTCCTACTGCTTTTTTCTAACAGGTAAAGAAGCAATAGGGAGAGTTCAGGAATGACTGTAGTTTTAGGGCTAACTGAATTTATAAGAAAAAATTATGCTCACAATACAGTGTGTGTGGTTCCTTTTAGTTTTTATTTTGCAGGTTATCAATACTACCCTCATATAGCTGTGCTTCTTTTCACAGGGATGCACGGGTAGTTAAAGATATGGCAACTGGAAAGTCAAAAGGCTATGGTTTTGTATCTTTTTATAACAAACTGGTGAGTAATCACAATGCAGTTTTAAAATAGTTCCTGTTTTCCATTTTTAGTTTTGCCTGTTTATGTATTCGCTGTTTATTAGACTTCACCCAGGGAAACAAATTTACATGTACAGGAGCTGTATGTATGTTTGGGACAACGTGAGGAAACTGAATCATTTTCCTTAAATATTTTGCAGAGGAAAAAACTCAGAGTTTCAGGATTTTAGGCACATAAAGCCTGTTTGTGTGGTCAGAAGTCCTACATGTCAGTTCTCTTTTGATGTTCTGTAACAGTTACCTGGTGATGTCATAATCAGAGAAAAAGTTGTAATTTCTTCAGATTTGCTAATGCCATAAGCTACTGCAAGTGAATGCCTTGATTTAGTGTGTTTTTTCCAGCTGTGCTTTCTTTGTTCTGTTTTACAGCTGTAAAAGCAAGAAATAGCTGTTATTTCCATGTACCCCTCTTCCCTTACCATACAGTTGTTTGGTTCCTGTGACCAGGGGGAACTGTAACAGTCTTGGAATTAAAGTTACTGGATTCTTTTTAGACTGAGCCATAAAAACTCCAATTTGAAATTTGTATTACAAAATTAATGGAGGAATTCTAAACACAGTACTAAAAGTGCTGTTAAATTTCATGTCCTGATTGCTGTTCATTCCCACAGCAGCTGCATCTGTAGGGTTATGGTGTGACAGTCCTGAGCTGGTACTTTAAGGCCTGTTTTTCACAATGTATAATTCTGCTAGATTCAGGGAAGTGGGATATGCTCCCAGACTTCAGGTACTACAGCCTGAGATCCTAATGCATAACACAGTTAAGAGAAAATGGAACTCCTGCATTGGACTGGATCAGTTATGGCTTGGGCTCTGTTCCATTTTTGTCCCAGTTGTGATCCTCAAGCAGGATAGCAGCAAGATACATCAGAGAGTGTTTCCTTTCCTACTTAGTTCATTATTCACCGTGTTTTAGGAGCCAAGGGTGCTTGAATCACTTGGGGTGTTTCATTGTCTGGAGGTTTGGTTTTATCACTGGGATTGAGTTTTTGTTTTCTAATTGGTCATCTTTTGTAATTTCAACTTCGTATTTATGTGTTTTCAAAATGAGTACTCAATATAATTAAAACCTAGAAAGATCAAGGTCCTGAGTTTGAGAAGAAAATTCTAACTGTGAGCAGCTCACCTTTAACTTGTCCACACTTTCTTTGTCCCTTGTGCATGACAGCTTTTTCCTTAAGCTTTGTGCCCTTGGAAAGCATTTCAAATGTGCACTATTTGCTCTGCCTGTCTTCTCCCAAAGCAATTGGGAGACAAATTGCTTCTTGCAGCTGTTAGCAACCTCACCCTTGCTTACCAGATGTTTCTGCTTACACTGAACTTAGATTGTCTTCAGTTTCATGTTCAAGATAAAAAGTGGGCCGTGGGTTCTCATGTGTGTTCAATGACTTTAACATGTAGAGAACTTACAAAGCATTGGCTGCACACCTCCAGGAAACAAAAGAAACACTTAGTGATAGTTGTTTTATTTCAGTGATTGGTTCTGACATCTGTGTGACTTTCCCACTTTTTTGGGCAGCTTTTGAACATTCTAATGCAGATGCTTGTATGGTATATATGGTATAAATGTGTGTGTGTGTACATGTATGTATACAGGTAGCATATATATGATTGCAGTTGGTTTCTATCCTGTGGAGAAAATGGGTGGGAGGAATTTTTTACCAAATGACTTCTGAGGGCCTTCTCTGTAGCCAGTTGCTTTCATGTTAATTGATGTTTGTCTACTTACTATGATTGTTCAGAATTTTGTACCCTTCTGAGTACTGTTACTGGTTTTGTCAGTGGAATTAACTGACAACCAAGTCTTGGGAGTAGATTTGTACATGATTTTTGTTTGGAAGTGCTACAATCTCTGTTCTAATCTCTTCAGGATGCAGAAAATGCTATTGTACACATGGGAGGCCAGTGGTTGGGAGGCCGCCAGATCAGAACTAACTGGGCAACAAGGAAACCACCAGCCCCCAAAAGTACACAAGAAAGTAAGAGCTTCATGTCATGCTGTGTTGTGTTTGCTGTCTTTTCACTGTTCAGTGGGGGAATAAAACATAAGCCAAAATCATGTCACTTAAATCACATATTAGCTTGCCTTCCAGATCTTGATTAGGTTTTGTTTTGGTATGTTGTATCAACACAGTCATAAAATATTTTATATTTGTTAATAATGTGTTTGTTAAATGTGAAATTCATGCTTGTGTACGAGGTAAGTGTCTAGGTTACTGTCAGCCCACTGCTGAAAACCAGCCTTCTCTCTTTATAGATAATACAAAACAGTTGAGATTTGAGGATGTAGTAAATCAGTCAAGTCCAAAAAATTGTACTGTGTACTGTGGAGGAATTGCCTCGGGGCTAACAGGTATGAAGTGTTCTCTTATTTTTTTATTATTGAAACTTTTTGGACACCGGGATGGTTACTAATTCAAAAACATCTTATGTTGTAGATCAGCTTATGAGACAGACTTTTTCACCGTTTGGACAGATTATGGAAATAAGGGTGTTTCCAGAAAAAGGTTACTCATTTGTCAGGTATGGAGAGAAAGCAAGATCTCTGGGTCCGTGCATGTAGTAACACTGCATTTCTCTGTAATTTCACTTGATTGAACTTGTCCTGATACAATAAAAGCTGTCACCATATATTCGTAGAATAATTTGGAACTTGTAAAAAGGGCCACCAACATTTTTTCCTGAGAAGATGAATGTTTGTGAAAGCAGATGTTTTTCTCTGGATTTCCTGTATGTATGGGGTCACTGTTTTTTAAGTAATCAGGTGGAAGTGCTGTAAAACATAACATTGGTTTGTTTTTACATTTTTTAGGTTTTCAACCCATGAAAGTGCAGCACATGCTATTGTTTCAGTTAATGGAACCACAATTGAAGGACATGTTGTTAAATGTTATTGGGGTAAAGAATCCCCTGATATGACTAAAAACTTCCAACAGGTAACTGTACTTAACCTTTTCTTTGTATTACAAAAGCAATTGTGTTTATACCTGTAATGACTTCCCAGTTATAATGGCTAAATTTTGTGGTGGAGTTCTTATGAAATTCCATGTTCTGTCTCAGTTATGTTCCAGTTCATCAAATTGGGCTAGTGATTTTGATGGAATATCTGTTACTGTCTTCTGGATATGATCCAAGATAGGGAGAAACTTTGAGGTAATTTTAATTCTTGCTGTTTTGCTAACTGCAGATTAGGTGGCTGTCCAACCAAATAGTCTTTGGGGTTTCAAGCACACACAAATAAATTTTTCAGTACAAGGATCTAATTAAGTCATAGTGACATCTTATTTTTCAGATCTCATTATTGCTTGTTTTAGCTCTCTGAGTGATATAGCCAAAACTTTGCCTTCAGCAGCACAAATGCAATGTAAACCATCTCTAGAATCTGAAGTACAATGGATCATTCTTTCTGCAGGTGGATTACAGTCAGTGGGGACAATGGAGCCAAGTATATGGAAATCCACAACAGTATGGGCAATATATGGCTAATGGGTGGCAAGTACCATCATATGGAATGTATGGCCAAGCATGGAATCAACAGGGTTTTGGAGTAGAGTGAGTAATTATATTTAATTTTTTTAGAATATTCCAAGAGTGCTGTAGCTTAAGTTTCAGGCTCATTTGGGTCAAAGACTGTACAAGGTTTCAAACTTTAGGGGGGAACTCCTGTGTGCTTATAAAGTTTATGTTCAGTGCTTGCCATGAGCAGATACTGGGGTGAGTCACTCAGACTTGCAGCTGATGGCACTTTTCATGTGTGATGGAGGCACAAAGACCACCCAGTGTGGAAAAGTTTTGCGTGGTGGTCTTGTCTGATATCTAAATCTGTTCTGGATTCTGACTTGAGATGGTGAGTCTGAGCCAGGAGCCCAGATATTTGCCTACAGGGAGAGAAGGAACACAGACACTTTAACTTATGTAGTTCCAGAATTTGGGTGGGCTTTTAATGATGGATCTCTTGAAGACTGAAGTCTTCAAATGAACTGTTTGTTTTAACATAATTTTGAAATAACTTGTTTGCCTAGTTCTTCATTATCTGGTGCCAGTTAAACATATTAAGCCCTGATAGGCCTGTCACTGGTGTTCATGCCCATGAGGTATTGGGTATTTCTTGCATTTCTGCATCACTGATGTTGAGTTCCAGCCACCTGTGTGTGTTCATGCCTTGGGAGGCAGGTGCCATATCCAGCTGGTACCCAAGGTGTGTGGAGTTTTTTTCTCCTTTGTTCTTAAACAGCTCATGATATTTTCAGGAATCACATGTTGTAGAGCTTAACCTGATTTACTCATTAAAAAGAAGAAGAAATTGTTCTATTTTCATATCAGTAGTTGTGTAGGAAGTATGTATTTTTTGGTTGTTCTTTTTTTTTTTTTTTTTTTTTTAAGTTGCTTTTCCCCATTTTTTTTAACCATCCTGTTTCTTTTTAAGCCAATCTCCATCTGCTGCCTGGATGGGTGGATTTGGTGCTCAACCTGCCCAGGGACAAGGTGCTCCTGTAATACCTAACCAAGCTGGATATGGTATGGCAAGCTACCAAACGCAGTGAGCTGGGACTCTGTTTAAAAGTGTGTATTTCATGATAGGCTGCAGTTTCCAGTGACATTCTGAAGACTGGAATGTAGACAATGAAAAAAAAAAAGAAAATATTTATTTTAAAAATGGAAATGTTTGGAACCTTTAGCACAGCTTTGCTTTGGTGAAGGACACAAATGTCTTCTAGTTCTGCCTTTTTAAGTTTTTGTTCATGATGGATATGAACATGTTTTTCTTTGTGTACAAAAATTAAAAATAAAGTCAATAAAGACAATTCTGACTACAAATTTTGATATAGTAGGAGAAATGGCTAATGAATTTGATCTTGAGGTTACCATTCCTTTTTTTTCTTTTTTGTTTTGTCTTCAGTGTTTTATATCATTGTGCTTTTAAGAGAAATGACGTTGAAAAACAGGGAGTTCTTTTAGTTGAACACACATCCTGAAATAAACTGTGGACCAATCACTACAACCTGCGAGACAGTATCGAGTTTTCAAGAAACCTATGGACATAGCTCAAAGTATATGTAGGTCTTGGAATAATTTTTTAAAAAAATATTTAATTTTTCTACATGCTTACAGAAAACAGCTGATACAATGAATAGTTCAGTTTGAAATGGAAAACAGTACTGTCTGAGAAATTTCACATAACTTTTACTGTCCACATTCAGGCACACGTTGAAACTTTTCAAAGCTGGTTTGCTTGTTAAAACTCTAGTAGTTTACATTTAATTTTGAGAAGTAAAAGTGTTTTTACAAGTATGTTGTTTGTATTCAAATCAGACAGTCATACTTGGGCTTTTACATAAAGTTTGAAGGCTACACATTGTAAATATTTCATAATTACAGTGTTTCAAAAGCATGCTCAAACATAGAAGTAGCAATGTAATTATTCAAAGTAATACTTAATATACCCTACTGCTTTAAATGCAGTAGATTGACAAGAATGTGCAAGACTGACATTTCCAAAGTTGGCTATTATGTAAAGTTACATAAAGAACTATAACAAAGAGCCTTAATTTTAATTTCATAAATCTTTAATGCATCACCTTTTTGTCATTAGAAATACAAATTTTTTGCTTTACATTATTTGGTATGTAAATACCTTGGTTAACAACCTTGTAAACCTATTTCAAGGTTATTATAAGTTGTATAGTATCTTGAGTGTTTTGAAAAATCTTGATGTTTTTTAAGTCTAGAAATATTTTGCCCAAGAATTTTTTAACAAGATTGTTAAAAACATCTTATTTTAGAGAATATTCAATGTGCCATTTGGTAAATGGAGATGCAGTTGAAACAGTACACTGAGTTGTGACTTATTTTTAATTAAAGTTTTTGTCTTTATGGATGGTTTGCATGTGATGAACTTGTACAGAGGCTGGGTTGTTTGTGTACCGAGTGTGTAAATGGATAAATCATGAAGATGTTTAAATGGTATACTTGGGTTATTTCTGAATTATTTTATGGATACATTGATATAAACTGCCTCAATAAATTTGAAGTTGAAAATGAATGTAAGTTAGATATAAGTAATGTGTCCTCCCTGTGACAGCTAGAGGGTGCAAATGCCTCAGCTGTCATCTGGAATGCCGAGGCAGGCACGATTGGAAGGGAAAGAGTAGGATTTGCAGTGGTAGCTCAGTGAAGCAAACTTGCATTTGAAAAGAAACAGAAAATTTGGTTTTTAGAGATGGTAGTTCTAAGTGAGTGTCTGAGAAGCTGTGTATTTTCTCTTTTCTGTTTCTGACCGTGCAGGTGTTGCGAGGTAGAGTAGTCTGTTTTGAAATGGAGATTTGCAGTTGTGTTAAACCCAGCCAGGTTGTGCAAATAACTACACTTGTTGCTGTAGCAAATCACATGAGGGTTTTCTTTCCTCCTCTTTTATTGACGTGTGAAGTAGTACCTTGACTTTTAGATCAGGTTGAGAGTGAGATGTACTGGAAGAGCAGTTTATTCGGTTGGCTCAGCTGCACCAGAGGTATTGTGACTCTGGGCATCTAATGCATGCAATAATGACTGAGGTTAGTGTGGAACCACGAGTGCTCGTGCTGGCAGAATTGGCCCTTTATCTCCTTTTCTCCTTTATGGTATATGTAGTGTCTTTCCACTCAAGATAGGAATCTTGCCTACAGGACTCTTGTTTTTCTATACATTTTGTACATATGTGTATATCTACGCGAGGATCGGCCTATACATTGTAGTTTGGAAAAACCTCACAAGTAACTCTGTTTTTGTTACACTCAGCCGGTTTAAAAAGTCACGAGTCAGCAGAGATATGAATTGTGAGTTCCTTTAGGATTTCTTAGACTTCACTTGAAATCTGGGATTTCTACATCCTTCTAGGTGTTTGCCATATGGCTGTTCTGGGTGCATGCTGGTGTGGAGGCAGTTTGTTCTTTAGGCGCTACTGAAGATTTAGATGATGCAAGTACATTGCCACATAAATGCCCATATAAATGGGTGTGAGATTAAGGCAGTGATCTTTCAGGTCTCAATGTGTAGATCACTTTAAATCTGATTATTTAATATGCCTGCTGTAGAGCTGGGCCGTACCTGACCTGTATTTCAGGATGAAAGATAGGATATACCTTCTGATTTAAGTCTTTTGTCATTGATTTTTATACAGCTTTTCTGTAATGGTGATATTTCTTCGCAGACTGCTCAAGATGTGGGGGTCTCCAGTGTCCTTTAATGTTTCTCTAGCACTGCGAGGAGGAGTTGTAAATTAGATTGCTTTTTACTCAGTAGCATTCATAAATGCATCACTGACAATTTTTTGGCACCAAAGAGCCTCTTGCACCATACTGCTTTTACGAGTGACACTTACACTGTTGTAATTTCTCTAACTACAGAAATTGACCACTACCTAACCCTTACCACTAGAATTTGGATTTCAGAAACACTGATTTATTATGGCTTAAGTTGATGCGTGCAACCTAAACCAAGGTTGTAATCTGCATTCGCAGAAAATGTTCAATAAAAGTGGAACATGATAAAGGGCTTATCCTGTATTTGTCATCTGTCAAAGCATTGTCCCTCTTTGCTGTAAAACTGACAACAGGCAGACAAGGCTGAACTTGTAAACTATGCACTTGCAATCATGTAAAAGATGTTTTATTTAAAAAAATTTCCTACAAAATCATTTTGTATTTTGCGGAGTTGCAGTAGTAAGGCTGTAAATCTAAGGTTACCTGTAGCTTCTCATCAATCCTGCCTCCTTGTGTATATTTGCTAACAGTTTTTAGACATACCTGCAGAACCTTCTTCTTACTAAGATAACTTCGTGAGAAGCGATTCACTGTACCAGAACCATTGCCTTCATTTCACTCAAAAAAGTCTCACAGTGAATAAGGCTTAGTTTTGCAGAAAAATAGTGATTTGTTTTTCTTGTGTTTGTACACAAGGAAGCAGACTTAAACTGTATGGACATGATTAGTGTCTGATACTTCTTAATTATCTGACTGTTTTTGAACAAGGGCACAAGTGTTTGTTTTAATCACGTGAAACTGTTTCCTGGTCAGCAATAAAAGATTTTGTTGCACTGTTCTTACATGGCAAGATACAGGCAATCTTTTGTTCAGTATACTTCCAAATAATGGATGGGGTTTGTGAAGAACTGCCTTGTTCCAGCTTGAATTTTCATATATAGATAAAATCTGGGATCTGGATTGCGGCTGTAAGAGCAAAAGGAAGTTCTCTTGAAAGTTGAGTGAGAATTCATTTATCTGATCACATGTGGTATCTGTGCCACATTGATAAATTTAAGGGTGTCACTACGTAATGAAATTTCTGTTCATAAAAAGGCAACTGCAAGGCAGTAGCTTCTGGGAAGGTCTTTGTCGTGTTTCATTTCAGCTGACTTCTATGAATCCAGTTGATTGTTTTAAAAAAACCCTTAAAAGTTGTTGCGTTTCTCAGTGTCACATGGATAAAATCCCATCCTGCTGTACCATAATTTCAAATCCAAGAAAATGCTGAAGTGTTTACCGAATGTTTTACTTGAAAAAGAAACAGGACTTCGTGTTGACAAGTGAACACTGATTGTGTTGTCCTTCTGAGGCTGTGTGCTGATGTAGATCATGGATGTGTGAATGACATGCTCTGCTCACTGACATTTCAAGGGTAATGACTCAGAACGTTAATTTGACATCAGTAATGATTATTTGAATACAAGTTATTCTTGCTTAAATACACAGCTCCCTATGCTTTGATTAAAGCTGATCTGAATCTTACTGGTTATTAAAGTATTCTTGATATGCTGTGGAAAGAAACATGGCTTTGCCTTCTATCTTAGTGTTGAAGCTGTCAATAAGACATCAGAGTTGCACCGACTGTTTTTTGTTTAGAAGAAAAACACTTAATGGAGTTGTCAGGGAATTCAGTGTAAACTGACTTTTCTGTACTGATGGGTGATGGTGTTTGAATATTTCCCTTCTGAAACAGTGGCTCAGTTCCCATTCCTTGCATGAACCTGGCTCTCACAGATCCCAGATTCTCAGCAGCTGTCTTTCCCAGCTGCTGGTGTGGAAGGGAGGAGAAGGAAGATGGTGAGAATAGGTGGTAGAGCCCCGTGTGCCTGGTGCAGCAGTGCCAAGGCAGACTGTCAGACACGTTTAAGATCACAACAGGTTTACACAGACACTGCAGCAGTACCCCGAGGGCTGGGACCATTCAGACACAAACTTGCTGTATCTGCTTGCTTAAAATAATGTGGCTTTAAAATTACAAAAGTAGAAACCACATAACCTCTTTGGTTCCTCACAAAATTGGTGCATATTAAACAGCCAACAGAACACTGAAGGTGACTAAACAAAGGAGGAAATTGCATTAAGCATCTGACTTGTAGACTTTTTCTTAATGTAGACCTCTTACCTTGGCATTCTATTGCGTGTCTATATTGACCTTTTTGTTTGTATAATTGAAGTAGTTTCAGATATGTGCAGCTGTTTGTTGAACATCTTCCCGTGCTTGACAACTTCTGGAACAGGGATGAGAACTGAATAAGAATTGTAGGTCTACCACATGAAACATTGGATAATGCTCACATTTCTTGGATGGAAATTGACTTACTAGAGCCAACTCTGTAGAAGTGTAAATATCACAGGGGATGATGAAAAGCTGCTGTCCTCCATTTGAGTAGCTAGTTCTTTGACCTTAATAGATGGGGAATTATTACTGGGCTGCTGTTCCATGAAAAATGCTCTTCATGGGTTTTTTGTTCCTTTCAATGGGGCAGATCTTTTACACTCCACAAATGATTTGTTTCCTTTCATGC